ATCCGAGGACACCTCGATTGGCAAAGAAATGAGAACTGCCAAGTCGTCTGTGAAAGCGGCTCGTCTGTTGTGTGCAGACTGTGTTTTGTTTTAGTTGGTCGGCTCGAATCGATGAGGATGCGAGTGGAAGGCTACCCGCACCACTGGTGAAATTGGGCTCCTATAGTGGTGCCAACAATGCACGAGACTTCGAGAGATCTATGAAGTTGCCAGCAGTGGGACCCATAAAAGTTTAGAGTTTCGGGTACTATATTGGTAGGATGTGTTATTCGGGAGGTGTTTGCTAGCCTAACCTGGGCCACAAACTGATAATGCCCTGACAGGAGCCAGTCATGATCTCAACTCATGTAAAGGCCAAAGAAGACTCCACCATGGTGATTGAGGAAAAGATTCCGGTGCTTCTACCCCATCGCATATTTCTGTATCTGTTTAATGTGTTGGGACTAGCGATACGACCGGAGGACATCAACGAATATTGGCAGCATCAGAAATCATTGTGTGAGTGGGCCTCGCACAACGACTTGGATGGTAAGCATGTGCCTGTCACTATCTACGGTGATACCGCTCGGTACGGGCAGGGGTATGATCAATCAAAGATTACTGGATGCTTCATGAGCTCGCCACTATGGCGGCCCAAGTCAACGAGAATGTCACAACGGCTTCTTTTCAGTGTGGATGCCGACCGTTCACTGGGCCCAGAGACTCTGAACCCTCTATATCTCGCCATAGTGGAATCATTGAATGAGGCTTTTCATGGACGAACCCCAGAAGGACGCCCTCTACCACACAAGTTCTCGGTTACTGAAATAAAGGGGGACTGGGAATTTCACTATCATACCTTTCAGCTTAGACGATATTGGAAAACCCGGTGGATATGCTGGAGATGCCACGCCGAGCACCATGCCCATGCCACCCACAGCTGCTTTGATTTCGATGATGATCCAACCTGGGAAGCAACCACTATTTCCAACTTTTCGTTTCTGGCCAACATCGTGAAGAGGGAGAATGTTTGAAGCTTTGCAATAATTGGCAGCAAGTTCAGGATTTGTTAGGGCCTTCAAACTCTGGGTGTTTTCATCCCGTACTCTAAGGTCCATTTTTGGGCTTGCATGCCTTTCATGTTGACATGATCTGCCATTGTTCACTACACAACATGAACTTGGGAATCGCTCAAGATGCCAATGGTTCCACGTTGAGCCTTGCCTATGTTTTGTACCCTTACAATGTGGAATAGATCTTATAGAATCTTATAGAAGTCACACTATCAGAATTCTGTTCCTGAACAAATAAGGATGTTCCTGATCGAGAACGGATACTTCGGATGTCCCCAGAGCCTCACATTCGAGAAACTACTGGTCATCGCTTTTCGCGACTTCAAGGCATTCCAACGAAGCACCGGTCAGAAATGCTCACAAACTAAGTTTGTGCCGAGGTTTGAACCCAGGCTGAATCTAGCAAGTGTGTTCTTTTAGAAAAACACTGGGGTATGTTATCTGGTGTGCCCTGCTTAGCAAAGGTTTGGAAGCCTGAGTCACATGGAGCTCATATGGGCCACAAAGGGCACAATGGCAAGATCATCGCCTACTGGCTTGGCGACTGTATGCAAAAGGCTGTGGAACGATCTACGGAGCCCCACCGAGAAATCTGCAAGTGGCTACTTGAAAGCCAAGCCTGGTCGACTGACGAACGGCTAGAACTCATTGCAGTGACAATGTTGCTTGCCTCGTTCATGCTTGCTGTCTCACATTTTGTGTCACCACCCAAAACAACGAATCGCCAATACCCTTGGAAACATCCCCGCATGTTCTGAGGCAATCGCTCTGTGCATGGTTCCACGAAGTGGAGAAGCATGGTCGGTACCTGTGGCTCGCTTACCAAATCTGAAATAAAGTGGCTTCTGCATAATCTGTTTTGTTTGGTTGTCGCAAGTATCTCAGGACTGTGACAGCCGCCGATACAATCTATGACCACGGTATGAAGTACCTCCGGTATCACCTCGTGCTGTGCAAGGTGTCTATGAGGCTACTGATTTAGACCCCCGGCTCTAGCTGTTTATTTGTGGTGCAGCTGTTGCAGGATGAAGAAGCTTCATTGGCATGTCCGTCCGAAAATGCATGCTACTGGTCTACAATAATCGTCCATCTTTCGTTCATAAATTCTGGAACTGTTCGCTGTCGATTGTTTGAAAACCTAGGCCTTTCACCATCAATTGAAGGACGTTCGATGCCGACGAATTTCGGCTGCATCATGAGCCCGCATCGCCAAGTTTGATACAGCAGAGCATCACGAGCAATCTCGAAACAAGGACTGAACACGAGGCACCTGCACACGTTCCGTGAGGAGGATGCGATGAGGTGGCTTAAGGGTCTCTTGGCTCCAAGTTTCCCATTTCTCTTTGAAGCTTATTGTGTAAGTGATTCCGTGTAACTTCAAAAGTCGGTAGCTGAGGGGTCGCTCATCGGAGTGACAAGAAGCAGCTGGAGCATGCAGTGATCAAGTATGGCAGATACCGTTTACTTTCGATGAGACGTAGAATGTGTCACCTGAACCGCAATGCAAGACAGAGAAATCGCTCGAAAATCGTGGGGCGCACTCGCCGGTGAACATCAGGTCGGCCAGCTGTTGCTCTGCTGCTGCAGCTTTTGTGTGTTGGGGTTAGGGCCGGCTAGGGTTCTTGAAGGTTTGGAAGTAGATTGTGGCTGAACCTTTCTGAGATTAATATGTGAAGACCGGACTTAGTGAACCAGGTGGTTTCAGTAAAGACTGTGCTTTCATTCAACGCACCCGTTTCCTACGTGGTTCGGACTTATAGGGTATCCTAAAGTTTGCATTTTATGCAGCCACGAATGCCTTGCCTGCGTTCCTTCTGCCTGCCCTCCATGCTTCTTCTCTGGGCATGTCAAAAATTCCCCTTGCCCCAAATCCGGTAAGCAGTGACCATGTGCAGCCTGCTCCCTAGTCTCGCCGCCGGAGGTATTCACATGCAGTTTCATGCTTTTCCTTGCGAATTGTTGGAAAAGTTGAAAAAACTAAGCTATCCGACCTATCCATGCCACAACCTGAACCTTGGATGCTTTTGCAATTTCCGGGAAACATGAGGAGGTCCCTCCCCTCGCCTCCCCTAGCCTCCCCTCCCCTCCCTCCTCCCCTCCCCTCCCCTCTCCCTTTCCTCTCCTCCCTCCCTTCGAGAAGGGCTGGGCGAGGTCTTCCTAGATGGCGCCAGGGTCTTCGGTTTTAAGTTTTTGGGTCAAAGTAGGGTTTAGGAAGTCCAGGGTTCATTTGAGTGTAAGGTTTAGGGTGAATGCAAGATTGCATTTTCCCCTTCAGTTGCTCAGTGAATTCAGAAAAATAGCCCAGTCACCTCATGATCTATTTGCTGTGCAACCAAGCTACAAGCAAGCTGAACACCAACCGATGCAAATCGCCCCGGTTGCTCGAACGCCCTGGTCGACGGGGGTTTAGGGTGCCTAGAGTTTGAGGTGATATTCATTTTTACGGTTTAAGATTTTTGGTTTTCGGTCTTCAGTTTAGTGCTGTCTAGGGCATGAGACCTCGTGACTCCCAACAAAACACCGAAATCAATTACTTTACCTAATCACCTAATCCCTGGCCTCATCCTCGCAAAAGGGTTGCAGGGTCCAACGCACTACACGTGCCGCGCTTTGTGGAACCTGGTTAGATTCAAACTCATTTCTTAAAGGTCGTTTATGCCGCTGAACACCGTAAGCCGGAAACCTTAAAACCCAAAAACCTCTGAACAGCGGTTCTCAGCGACAAAAGGCTGTTGTTGACACCCTGAGCATGGACGGCTTGGAAGGCTCGGCAGCGATTCGGGGTTTCTGTGGTGTCTTCTGGGGATTGTGTGAGTTGAACCGGCTTTTGGGCTAGATGCTAAACTCACTTAAAGGGCCTGACTACTTACACTGTGCCTGTCATACTACAACAACAACAACATTCTGGAAGGGTCCTGAGGCCATTTCATGACGAGGCCTTCTCTCTTTGCTTGGTGGTTCGCGCGTGCGTGTGCATGCATGTAATCTCCTGCTGCAATGCTGCAATGCTCGACAACAACATCTCAAAGCGTTTTCAAAGAAACTTCCACAAGAGGTCTGGCCTGTGTACAGTAGGGGCCCATTGGCTCAGTGACACCAGCTTGTCTGGCACAAGGTGGGATTGGTGGCCCTCGCATGCAAGCCGTGCGGCGACGATACATCCTTCCCGTTAGTTTGCGGTTGATGAATTGAGTAGTGCAGAAATCGCAACGGAGGAGGGCAAACTGCGGTGGAGGCAGGGGCCTGAAAAACGCCCCAAGCACTTAAATTCCGAACACCCTAAACGAATACCCTAAACACTCGTACCTAAATGTTAACCCCCTCCGAAAAGGCTTGTGGAAACAAAAACCAATTCCCCGATAAGCCCCCAGTGCCCTTGTTAAGCAAACACAGAGGAAACGATTACAAGAAACCAAAGCCTAAATCTTTCAACCCTAAACCCCCCTAAACCCTCAACCCTAGAATATACAGTTATACAGTTACATATAATATATGTATGTATGTATGTATGTATTTATGTGTGTGTGTATATATATATATAGATAGATAGACCTGAAACTGTAAACTTGGAGAGCCCACCCTCTCCTTTTGCCGTTTCGGGAGGCCCGGAAGAGGTCAAGGAAGTCTTGCGCTTGATTTCCCGCCCGGAGCACGAGGCAGCATCTTTTCTTTCCGGAAAAGTCTCAGGAATACGGTTTTTTAGCGTTTTATGGTTTAAGGCTTCGGGTTCAGGGTTTCGGATTGTTTTGAAGGTTTAGGGTCTGGTCCAGGGTCCAAATCTTAAGGCTCTGAGTTTTAAGGCTTCAGGGCTTCAATAAAATTATGAACAATACGAAACAGGGTGCCCTTGTTATTTAAAAGGAGACTGGGGATCCAACGCGATGTAGAACGCATCATTAGGCACTCTTACAGGAGCCTACGGGAGTTTATTCAAGTTGCTTCAGGGGTCCCGGTTTGCAAATGCGCGGATACCCTTATGGGGACAATAGCAAGGACCTACTTCAGAGACTCCTTCATTTTTGCTGCTGTGGGATCCAACTAAAATATGACGTATATGCTGCGACTTTGTCCATAATGACCCTAAACCCTTAAAGACATCGATCTATTTCAAGCTTTTAGCCGTTGTCAAGGTGCTTTCGTTGTGTCAGGGACCTGTGTGCACAGCGGGCGGCGCCCCGTGCGTACAGCTGCTTCCGCAAGCGTTGCTTTTCCGATTGCAGCTTTGCGTTTTGCACAGTTTGTTGAGTCCTAAACCCTAAACCCTAAGCTTCTTACTGCGGGTTTGAGGCCCCTGCACTGACTGGAAAAGGGCCAAATCCTTGATGCTGCAAGCAAACGCACCCTCACATGGCGGTTGGGTTATTCATTGCGTTTGGGGTTATAAGACCGAACCCTGGGAATATCCCAACAAGAGTGTTAATTACCGACAGCCTGATTGCCACACTCCCCTCATCCTCCGGGCACACCCCAAGTCCTAAGTAAACCCTTGCCTAGAAAAAACACCGTCTACTGCCATCGCTGTAGCCTTACGCAGCGCTGTGCTAAAGGGTTCTTGGAGGGATCCTGGTAAGCCCAAAACCCAAAAGCCGTAAATTTCGAAGTTCATCCCTTCTTTGCGCAAGGGCGTGGCACCTCCTATGTCCAAGGAGTTCGGTCGGAGTGTGACTCCAGGTTTTGGTTCCAGTTTGTATTTTGATCGCTTGCGAAGGAGTGCTTCGTCTAATGTCAGACCAACACGAATCTTGACTATTTCTGATACGAGTTTGCTCTCTGGGTGGCTCGGGTTCTGCTCCGTGTTGCGAGGGATCCAAAGATCTGTGTGTGTGTGTGTGTGTGTATATGTGTCTGTTTTTTGGGGAAGGTTCTTTTCTACCACGTGCCCTTTCAACATTTTTCTGACAGTCTAAACTAAACGGAGTAGGGAATCATACCCACGCGAAAACCAGAACCGAGCTGGAACTAGACGCAGCCTCACACACGGCAATGCTTGAGCGTTATATGCTAGATTTAGGGCTTTAGGGGTTTACCCTAATTCCTAAACATCCCTACCTGAACCCTAACAATTATAGGGTTAATCTGTTTCGGCTGCATTCAGGTCGTCCGGCCAAGGCTATGCTGTAGGGTTAAGGGCTTAGGGCATCTGATGTTATGAGTTGTATATAAGCTATAGATGCTCCACTTCGAGGTTATCTTAATCATGAGTTCCACTTCTTTATTATAGATTGTTTAAGGTGTATGATTTTGGGCTGTAGATGGCTGTCGTTTGTGGAGGTTTCAGTGCATTAGCAGAGTGTCAAGTTTATGAAACCTCATGAGGCCGATTATGCCGTCGAGCTGTGTCAACTCTGCGCCAAAAAACAGTATGGAAACCAGCGCATCCCCTATTAGGGGTACCTTATAGCAGAGATCCTAAGTCCTACCTTTTTCAGTTCTGTTGTTAGGCTCCCTTGTTTGAAACTCCCATGTCCAGCACCCGGGGAGATCTGCAGGAGGAAGATGAAGAGGAGGGGGTGGAGGCCAACTTGATGTCAGCTAGAGCCTCAGAAGTCTTCTTTGAGGTCGTATAGTACTTGTCCTGCAGGGTTTGTCGGTGTTTTGTAGCACTTTTGGGAGGACTCAGGCAAATAGTTCATGATAATGCCCTGTGGTAGCCCGCATGGTTTGTACCATAGTGTAGAGGGCCCCTATACAAGTAGCAAGGAGCGGGGTCCCAGCCGAAAACTTCTGACATTTCAGGGCCATTCTGTGGACTCGGCTCAGCACGAACAGGAGCCATTCCCACGGCAACCCTCCCTGAAAGGGCAATTTTGTTTGGCTCTTGCTTCGGGGTGTTTGGCACATACACCAGAAGCCACACCAGAAGCCTTGCTGGATTCTAAAGATATTCAGACACCCACCATATGTAATGAACAAATTGTGACCACACTGGCAAAGTAGCTCGAAGACCTCCAGGCCCCCAAGCCTTGACCCCGAGAAAGATGGAACTAACCTCTATAGACTCTTAACCCTAACCTCAACACCCAACTCTAACCCGCTCAGCCCAACCCCAGACCTTAAACTAAAGACCGAATCAATCCGGGCACTTATAAGGCAAGGCATCGCCGATTCGGATATTTATGCCTCATGAATAACGTGAAACTGAGGCGCTGAACCCCTAAAGCCCTTACCCAAATCGCTATAAAGCTTCGAACCTGAAC